TATAGAGGGTGGATGTATTTTTCTTTAAGTATTTTGATGGTTGATTTTAAATTTTAAACATCTTAGTCTTGGATGATTTTTTTGTAAATTTAAATTTTGTGGGTATTTGGGTGGAGTTTGAAATATTTGAAATTAACCCATCTGGTTGAGATTTACATTCAACACGGCCATCATCGGGGTGAAGGGAATCATTTCCACTTGATTAAACCTTGTCAACCCTATCAACTTGTCGATAGGGGTTCGGGTTTCATAGGGTTTGTGCCTTTATTTGTGAATTTATATTGTTATAGGCCTTGAAGGCTTAATATGAATGTATTAAAACAAATATACCGGTATCCACAACTGTATACTTGTTTGATTGTTCGAACCCTGTCGACTTCTATTGATCCGTATAGAATGATCGGGTCCAAATTTATTGACCCGCGCAGCATTCCTAGATGTCACGCGTGTACCAATAACATGCTCGTCAGGGCCCATACGGGTGTTGTGATTGCACTTACCCCTTTTGTGTACCTATGTGTTTACAAACTAAGGTGCATGTGCAGGGGAATTTTCAGATAATTATAAACGCCTTCTGTCCGCTTGCATAGATATCGTGGATCCGATGGCGTGGCGTAGCAGCTTATAGATTGAGTTGTTCGTTGCCTTGTACAGGTAGACTGTCGTGCACTACCTACATGATTTACGCAGGTAGATTGTAGTGCACTAACTAATCTTCTGCTTTCAATTTTAGATGCCTGCATTTATTACATGTCATTCGCCTTTGCTCGTAGATGACACTTTGTGTACACGAGAGGGTTCCTACGATGGCTTGTAGGAATTTGGATTTGTAGTAGCCTTATATCTTTGATTGCAGAGAACATGTGTACTTGTATCCACAGAAGATTTGCTGCACTTACTACATATCCGCTGGTATTATCCATAAATAATTTTGTTTATCATCGTAGCTCACAAGGAATAGTTGTGTTTGTCTATAAGTGAGACGACCTCAATTGTAGTAATATCACAACCTTAATTTCATACCACTTGAGTGTATCTGTCTTCTATTGGATGGTTGTTAGCTGTAGAGACTTCACAGCATCCTTGTTAAAACAGTTCATAGGTACTTTGCATATGAGAGAGATTTCCTACGTTGACTCGTAGGAGCTCGCATCTTTCATCTATCTCTCCCAACATATTGACTGTGAGCACATTTATGTAATTATTGCATGCTAATCATCATAGTTTACTGAGATTTGGTATATTTTCTTGTGCCTCTTGTTATGCTTTGTGTTTGGATTCATCACATGTCACTTATCAACTCTTTTGATCGTAGGGAATTTGGGTATTTGTTGGATACTTGATTGACATTGACTATGAGAGTATCCTCATAATCATTGTATGTTGTGATGTGATTGTTGCTTACAAATGAGTTAATATATTAGTCTGTGAGCCATCTGATGTTGAATGTGTATTCGCCGCCTCACGGGGACCTATCACACTTGTAGAGCACATATCATTATTGTTTGCAGATCAATTTGATTGAATGCTCCGAGTTGCTTCAATTCAGTCATTCCTATTTTGTATATATTTGAGATCCTTTTACTGTGTTTTTTCTTGGAATCAAATCGTTGCTAATGATAGGGACATTACTGCATTTCTTCATGCTTATTTGTAAGATTTATGTAAATGTCACACATCATTCCTTGTGTATGCTCTGTATATGCTTATGTATGCATTCACAACTATGTCACAAGATCTTCATTTGTAAATAATGCATCACAATTGTGTGAAGGAGTCATCATATTCATCACAAGCTTTTGATTGTATGCATCTAAATGACTTATTAGGTACACTATTGATTGTTCACCAATTGTGCATGACTCATATCACATGTCAAAATCCTTGTTTGCATTTTAACTGTTACTCGTTAGAAGTTCTGTGTTGTTTATGCATGGATTATGACACACACTAAAGCTCTCATTTGCTTGAATCTTCCTCCATCACGAGTCCCCTATTGTTCATCCAAGTCTTTACTTGAGTTCAACCATTCAAGTCGAGTTTGGATCAAGTTCTTTGTTCATTTGAGTTTGAACCCAACTAGTTCAAGTCATATTCACTTAATATTCAAATTAAGTCCAAGTTGGAACTCATTAGATTAAAGTATATTTTGTTAATCATTTGCTTTGTGTCCAAACAAAAGTCCATTTCATTGTTCAAGTTCAACGTCAAAATTCCGGTTTTGCTTGAGTCCAAATCAAGTCCACAAATCCGCTGTCAACTTGTTCAAGTCCATGTTCAAATTCAACTGAAGTTCAAGCTCTTTTGTGGTTCATTTAAGTTCTAGTTTAGGTTAAAGTTAAGTTCAAACAAAGTCCACTGTTCATTTAAGTCCAATTTCTTGTTCTTTTGAGTTCAAATCAGAATCAAATGCAGTCTTATATTCACCCGAAATTTCAGCAGCCTCCCGGCGTCTCCCCCATTTAGGGAAAAATTACGGAAAACTGGGCCTCCCACCACGCTAGAGAAAAGCGTGTATGATAGGTGTCCTCGGACGAGGACACCACGACTTTAAAATCTTTGTCCCCACCACGCTAAGAAAAGCATGTATGGGTCTTCAAATGTACCTGTTGCAAGAGAAAAGCAGTTGTTTCCCCGTAGGTACAAAGCCGAGTACGGGTACTTAAGAGTTGTCCTATCCACGCTAAGAAAAGCGTGCACTAGGCTTAATTACCTGCCTCATCGCATGCGTCGCACCGAGTTCTCTCCTATCACGCTAAGAAAAGCGTGTATAGGTGGTTGACCGGCTCGTCACACACACCGAGGATAAGATTTTGGAGCCGAGGGGTCGCTCACCTACCTCGTCGTAGGTCGCACCGGGTTCCCTTCCCACAATGTTAGAGAAAAGCGTGTATGGGCGGTTTGCCGGCTCGGCAGCACACCGAGGTAAGAGTGGTTTTTTTAAAGTAATTATAATTAATTATTATTATTATTATTAACTAATTAGAATTAATTATAATAAAATTTAATTAATTAAAATTAATGTACAATTAATTAATAATTGTAATTAATATTAATTAAACATAATTAATCATGATTAATTAAATACTAATTATAATTAATATAATTAATTGTAATTAAGTTTAATTAATTATCATTAACTTATAATTAAAATTAATTAACTAATAATACTAATAATATTGATAATAATAACTTAATTAAAACAAAATGCCCAAAGGCTGTTCGGCAACATGATTTGGCCGAAGAGGCGCGCGGCATGAGAAAGTTACTCACGACCAGTGAGCTCTTGTTGCTGCTTCCGATCAAACAGGAAGGGAAAGTCGTTCCAGGAGCGAAGTCGAACAACAATGATGGGCCGAAGAAGAGATCGAAGGGAAGAATGTTATCTCCATAGCAAACGAGCGCCTGTTGTAACTTCTGATCCAAATGTCGTGGCTTCCGAGCCGGTTGGAAAGGAAAGTCGTCAATGGAGCCCAGTCGAACAGCGACCAAGGGGCCTAGGAGGCGGCGAGCTCCCGTTGTTCCGTCCCATCCAAATGTCGTAGTTTCTGACCCGACTGGAAGGGAACGTCGGAGTAGGGGCCAAGCCGAACAGCCACGAAAAGCCGAAGAAACGTACGCAAGGGACAATGTTCCCTCGGCAGCGAACGAGCTCCGGTTTGGGCTTTCGAACAAACTGTCGTAACTTTCGTTCGATGACCAGGGAAAGTCGTCGTCGAAGCGCAGTCGAACAACACGAAGGAGTCGAAGTGGCAACGCGAAAGGGAGAGAGATTGCGAGAGAGACCCGAACGCGAGAGAGAGTGAAAAGAGCCCCGAAGGCTTCGTTCTCGCGGCCTTTTAACGGCGTGAGGTCGTGCGAGCGACGTGGGGAGATACGACGTCGGTCGTGTGAGCTGCGTCGAGGACGTGCGACGGCTGCAGCAGGTATGGGATTTTTTTATTTTTGTTTCTTTTAATTTATAGGTCAACAATACAATAAATGGTTATGCGATCTGGAAGATGCTGTGATAGGAAGACTTATCCCAACTGCCACCGGGTTTCTTAGTTTCATTTAAATAGTTCTTTTTTTTTAAAAAAATTTGTTGAAATAATGTTTCCAAGAAACTAACGAAATTCTTGGAGGTACTTTTTCATGTGTCATGCTGGTTTTTGGTGGGGCAGGTGAGGTGGTGGAGAGAAAGACAAGTTATAGACATTGACTTAAGCCTATTTAAAATCCTATTTTAACTAGAATTTCAGATTTTCAGTTAAGTTAAATATTTACCTAATAGTTTATTTGCTACTGCTAAACTCTGTTAAAACTAATGGCCTAAGTTAGATTCCTTAAAGGAAATCTACTTGCACTTTTCCTAATAAATATGGACCTAGTTGCACGATTCTTTATAATCTTTCAGAAAGAGCATTAGTTATCAATAGTTGGATTTGAGTCATTTGACTGTCTTGATTCTTCATTTATTGGTCAATAATTTATGATTTATTATTCTACAATAGTGTTGTTTTGGTTTGCTTGCGGTCTGATCTTGCTTTTTTTTTTTACTTATGCAATGAAATTATTTAATCGGAATCTATTTCTTACTTCTATTCTTGATTTTTAACTCTTGATGTATATTAGAGTTTTAAAATTTATAGTTATACTAGAGTTTACAGTGTGTTATTCTTTCATTTGCATTGTTATCTCTTGGTTTTGAATATTCTTGGTGCTCTTGTGCTCCTGTTATCTTAATGTATGTGCTTCATAAAATTTGCTGCTTCACATCTGCCTGATTTTTTTCTGTTGTGTTGGGTAAAGGAGGAGGTTGAGAAACATCCTTTTATTCTCTTTTGCATTTTTTTATGTATATCCCACTGCATGCTCCAATATAAGGTTATGCTTGAAGTACAGCTCTGAATATCCAATATCTAAATATTATTTTTCTCTATTTATATTTTATTTCATTTTTTTATTTTTCTCTTTCAGGAGATTTTAAGCTGGCAGTTATTGAAAGCTAAATTCAAGGGATGCAAATAGTTCCAGGAACTGGCAAGAGGAAGCATTTGAAAGAAGCTTTGGATGAAAATCCCACACCCGCAAATGAAACTCAGAAGTTTGAAAGTGCAGTGAAACGGCGGAATATATCTCAAACATGCATCCATGAGGTTGCTGTTCCAGATTATTTTAATTCATCAAATGATGAATTGATTCATGGGTCATTAAATAATCCAATATATGATGGATTAATGGCCAAAAAATACCCTTTTAAATTAGATTCATTCCAGCGAGTTTCAATTGCTTGTTTGGAGCGGAATGAGTCTATCTTCGTATCTGCTCACACTTCTGCTGGTAAGACTGCAGTAGCTGAGTATGCTATTGCAATGTCCTTCCGTGACAATAAGAGGGTTATCTATACCTCACCCTTGAAAGCCCTCAGCAATCAAAAGTATAGACAATTAAATCAGGAGTTTTTGGATGTTGGTTTGATGACTGGCGATGTGACCCTCTCACCTCATGCCAATTGTCTAGTCATGACGACAGAGGTACTTAGAGGAATGCTGTATAGGGGCACAAAATTACTTGAGGATGTTGCATGGATTATTTTTGATGAGATCCACTATATGAATGATCGAGAAAGAGGGGTTGTGTGGGAGGAGAGCATAATTTTCTTGCCTCCAACAATCAAGATGGTGTTTTTGTCTGCAACCATGTCAAATGCCATAGAATTTGCGGAGTGGATCTGCAAGTTGCATAAACAGCCCTGTCATGTTGTTTACACGGACTTCAGGCCCACACCTTTATATCACTACGTGTTCCCGGTTGGTGGATCTCAATTATACCTTGTGGTGGATGAGAATGAGCAGATTAAAGAGGATCGTTTTCCAAAATTGCAGGAGACATTCAAAAGAAAAGCAAGTAGACGGATTGCTAAGCGTGGTACTGCTTCAGCTCGAGACATATTCAACATTTTGAAGGTATATCTTGTCTTGCAGTACTGAAGAGGAAGTGAAGCACATATATACTTGTTTGGTTGCACGACATCCCTATCTCTTTCATAATCTGGGCTTGATTTTTATTTCTATTTGTTGTTCATGCTTTATACTTTATACTTGGTCTTATTTGTTTTATATTCTTATCCTTTCTGTATTTTGTAATTCTGATGAGTTTTAATACATCTTAGAGGATACTAGATTTTCATGGCACGATGCATCTTATTATGGGAAATTTTCTTTCCCCATTTTACGCCATACTTTTTGTTTAATTTTTATATTTCTTACCGTGTGCAAATGTGCGCAATTTAGTTTATTTGGAATGTAATTTATTTGACGTATATTTTGATCTCATGTACATCTTAAGAGTTGGTTTGAGTCGTTTGACTTGTTGCAATATGCTACCGATAGATGGAACAGGGGGTGATATATACTGCATGTTTATGTGAATCTATGATAATTTCCTTTTTTTATCGATTTAATATTCAGGATAAGCATTTATATCAGTCTTTTTCTGCATAAGCTGTCGGGAGATATTATTTATAGAAGGAAAATGGTAGCTTTTTAAACACTTAGATTGCTTTGCAATTTTGAAATGCTGCTATAGTCAGACTACCGTTGTAAAACTATGGTTCCTTCTGACATTCTTAATGCTGTATCCGTGCTTCTTTCCCACTTAATGTTAAATGTTCCTTTGAAATATGTATATCTGGTTCTCTTGTTCTAATGTTTGACCTTGTAGCACCTTGGATTTCTTGATCTTGAATTTTGAGCTTTGCATTTGTGATAGATTCATTTGTAGAAGAACCAAAGGTTTGCTCTGCAAGTAGCTCATAGCTGCCGATTCATTTATTTCTTAGATCTTCTATAGTGACTGTAATGCTATTAATGCTATTGCATCTTTTCTTGCTATTTATTTGTTAATTCTTTGTTTCCATCCTAGAAATTGTAATATCATATGCTTTTGATTTGTTTGAATCAAGGTGTGTTCAAGGCATCATGCTAAATATCACGCAGCATTGCTTTTTGTTTCTTATTCTAAAACTAAATGTATAATGAGTGATTATTATTCTTTTTCTTGCTCAGATAATAATGAGGCGAAAATTACAACCAGTAATAATTTTCAGCTTTAGCAGATGGGGGTGCGAGCGGCTTGCTACGTCCATCGCTAAAAGTAAACTTGACTTTAACTCAGATGAAGAAAAGGATGTTGTAGAACATGTTTTTAAAAATGCTATCCTCTGCTTGAGCGAGAAAGATAGAAATTTACCAGCTATTCGGCTAATGCTTCCACCATTTCAACGGGGCATAGCAGTCCATCATTCAGGACTGCTTCCAATAATTAAGGAGTTAGTAGAGTTGCTATTCCAGGAAGGGCTTATCAAAGCTCTTTTTGCCACTGAAACTGTAAGCTCATTGCAATATTTACGATGTAGGTATTTCTTATCGATAACTTTTTGGGGCCATGATCTGGATAGATAAGCTTAGTGACTCGGTGATTTAGGTTTCGTTTGGGATGATTTTCTTACTGCTTCCTAAAGCAGTTTTTTAGTAAAAAATTAAATTTTTTTATTAAAAAACTGCTTTAAGAAGCAGAAAGAAAGTCGTCCCAAACGAAGCCTTAGACTGAAATAGGTGTGGTTGTTTGGTGGATAGGAATGATCAATGAAGTATATTATTGGTGACTCATGTTTGTAAATTTTGTAATTCAGCATTATCATTGTCAGGCTCCTCTTAACAATTTAGGTTAGATTTTGAAGTACTTCTTTTCCGTTTATTGCTGTTTAGAGCTTTACAGTTTTTACTTCTAGTTTGGTTAAATCTTTCTTCACAACTTTTCAGATATTATTAATCTTAAAATGTGTGCTATTTTGCTCGCTATAGTTTGCTATGGGCCTGAATATGCCTGCAAAGACCGTTGTTTTCACATCTGTGAGAAAATGGGATGGTGTCAGGCATCGTTACATTGGATCTGGTGAATACATTCAGGTAAATGAAGATTCCTTTTTTATGATATGGGTATCACAAAAATAAGTCATGGCTCAATCCTTTTTCAAAAGTCTTACATGTATCTTTACATCCTTTTACTAATAAGCATTGGTTTGTGGCACCTGCATATCCCATGAATAGATGAGTGGAAGAGCTGGCCGTCGTGGTAAAGATGAGCGTGGCATTAGCATTATAATGATTAATGAGAAGGTAAGTGCATCGTAATCATGAACTTGTTCCTATAGTTTGCAGTCTTTATTCAGTTTAGTGTTCCTTTTCTTCTTTGCTTTCTGTCTATACGGATTTTAGGTGTCCATGTTATATTATAGCTTCAAAATATGCAAAGAAATTGCGATAGTAAAATTCAGAGTTCGTGACATTTTCTAAGACCTGCCAAAAGTTTTTGATAAAGTAGAACGTTCATTTAAATTTTTAAGCATTTAAAGATCATAAAACCAAGTAGCCTTTGGCTGTTCTTCTGTACCTTAATTTTAATCTGTTTTTTGTTTTTACCTGCTTTGTTTCTAGTTTTGCGTTTTGACAAACATAACTGAATCTTGTCTAGGTTTTGTTATTATGTATATGAAAAGTTTTAGTTCAGAAGCTTGCTAGAATTATAGTACATTGGACTTCTTAAACACGCGATAACTTGCCCTGATATTAAGCATATGTGTGGACTCTTTTTTTTTGTAGTGTGGGATTAAAATATGGTCCCTCATCCGGCTATTTGTGTGTGTAGCCAATTTAAGCTTAGAATATCATATTTCTCAAATTTAATCTCTTGAGTACAACATTGATCACAAATGATCTTCATGGACTAAACTGATATTAATTTTATATGATTGAGGGACTTAATTATCTAAATTAGGTTCAATTTTGTTTCCCAATTTCTTTCAATTTCTACTTGGCGAACTATTTGGGGCCAATTTTTAGAGATTAAATTGGAAACATGTAATAATACTAGGTTATGAAATTGACTACATAACAGTAGTCAGATGATAATTTTAAGCTCTTTTTTTTTTTGAACAGGTCATCCTTATATAGGCGTGTTTGATTGTTTTATGTTTATGAAATGTCTTGGAAGTAAAAAATGTGAAAAGAGCAGTAGAAAAATGTAGGAATACTAGAAATGATGGCTGATTTTGTATTATCACTTCAATACGAACAAGATACATGCGATCTCTGATTAGAGAGAGATCGACTCTCCCAAACAACCTAGACGGCAGTAGGAATCCCTCAAAGAAAAAAAAAACTACAGCAAACACAAATCACACATATACCTGAAAATACAATAGTGTTAGCCCTAAATAGGCTCTCATAATTTCCTCCTAAATCAGCCTCTTTTCTTACTTGATTTCCTCCCCCATTTGAATTCAATTTGGATCCCTTTCCCTAATACTTTTCCCCCAATTTTAATTAAAGCCTTCATGATTATCTCTCCCTCTATTTTTCCACCTTACATATGGAATTAAATCTTTTTTGGGATCCGCAAGGGGGACCAAACCCCCTCCTTGTTTCCTGTTGGGTTCGACACCTCTAAACCAAGCGGAAGGCTTCCACCCCTCTTGTTGGGCATAACAATACTCGCCCCTTACATGCGCACCTTTTCCTCAATGTGGAAGGATGTGAACTGTCTCTTGATCGTCTCATATAGCTCCCATATAGTATCGTGCTCCAACAAATCCTACCACTTGATTAACGCTTCATGTACCCCTATTTCAACAAATCCTACTCCTAGGGGTTCCACAACGACCTCCATTTATTTTGTCAATGTTGGGGGAAGTGAATATGATTTGTGATCTCCTATCACCTTCTTAAACTGTGAGATATGAAAGACGGGGTGCAATGCTAATGAAGTTGGTAGCCTCAATTGATAGGCCACTGCTCCAATGCGTTCCAAAACCTCATAGGTCCTAAAGATCATGGGGACAATTTCTTATTCTTTCTCCTAGCTAGTGCCTTTTGCCTATAGGGCCTCAGTTTTAAATAAACATTGTCTCCTTGCTCAAATTTTACTTCTCTCCTGTGCTCATCAGCCTTTCTTTTTCATAATTTACTGGTTCTCAACAGATGTTCCTTGAGTTCAGATAAGGCCTGTCGCTCTCCTCAAGTACTGATCTACACTGGATACTAGTGTAGTGCTATGTTCATAATGAATCAAATGAGATGAATCTCTCCCATAGAGAATCTTGAAAGGGGTGGTCCGTGCTGCTGAATGATACGAGGTGTTGTATCACTATTTGACCCAAGCAATCCACTTCGCCTAACTCTTTGGTGTACCTGATATAAATCATCTCAATTAGGTCTCTACACTTTATTGACCACCTCTATCTGGCCATTTGTCTGGGGATGGTATGCTATGATTCTCTTCAGAATTGTCCAATGTAAACAAAACATCTCCTTCCAGAAATGGCTAAGGAGTACCTTGTTTCTGTTTGACATAATGGATTCTAAAAATTCATAAAAGCACACCACCTCTCGTATGAAAGCAGTAGCCATAGAAATCCCGATGTACAGGTGCTTCAGAAAAATGAAGTGTGCATATTTGCTCAGGCGATCCACTACTACCAGTATCACCAAAAATCTCTCCGAACAAGGCAACCCTCAATGAAATCCATCGTCACCTCCTCTCACACCCTCTATGGCAGAGCTAGAGGTTGTAGTAACCTTGATGGCTATATGGTTAAGTAATTGTGCCTCTGGAATACATCACATCTCGCCACCCAGTCCTCTACATCGCGGCGTATCCCCACACAGTATAATTCTGCTAACAAGTGGCTGTAGGTCTTCTGAGCCTCTGAATGTCCTCCAATTGCGCTGTCACGAAACTTCTGCAATAGCTTGGACATGTATCTTAACCCCTCAATAAGACAAATCTCTCCTGATATAACAGCTGGGCTCCTCTCAATGTATAATCGGGATGACTGCCTGGGTTCTGTAGCAACTCGACTCTAATCTTCCATAGTCCCTCATCTCGTTCACTCTCCTATTTCAAAGCTTCCCAATCCAAACCATAGGTACTGACAGAGCTGTCAATTGGGGCTCTTCCATCTTCCGTGATAGTGCATCTGTGGCTTTATTCTCTAGAATTGGGTGATACTGAATCTCGAAGTCATAGCCTAATAACTTGGAGATCCACCTCTGATGCTCCTCAGTCAACACCTTATGCTCCAGTAGAAACATAAAACTCCTCTAATATGTCCTGACGACAAAGTGTTGTCCCAACAAATAAGGTAGCCATTTTTGGATGGCCAAGACAATCGTCATCAACTCCCACTCGTAAATAGACTTGTGCCTTGCCTTGGTTGTGAGCAACTAGGTGAAAGAAGCAATGGGCCTATGATCTTGCATGAGCACTTTCCCCAGACCTAAAATCCCTCTCAGCTCCTCATGTTCTTAACTAAAGGTCATTCCAACACAGCCTTAATCTTGGACTAGTCTGTTGCTACCCCTGTTTTTTTCACCGCATGTCCCAGGTACTCCACCTGTGGCTGTGCAAACGAAATTTTATTCAGGTTGGCATATAGTTGGTGCTCTCGCATCGTCCCAATATAGTCCTTAAGTGACCTAAATTTTCTGCCTCTGTACGATTGTTGATTAGGATATCATTAAAGAATACCAAGACAAACTTTCTGAGGTAGGGTTGAAAAGCCCGATTTATGAGGGGCTGAAAGCTAGGATGTTGGTAAAGCAAAAAGGTATCACCAAAAACTTATAGTGACCCTCATGAGTCATGAAGGCTGTCTTATGCACATCCCCCAGCTTCATTATGATCTGATGGTACCTTGATTTCAGGTCAATTTTTGAGAAGATGATCTCCCAAAAAGCTCATCCAACTACTCATCAATCAAGGGGTTAGGAAACTTATCCAACATAATTTTCTTGTTTAGGCCCCTGTATTCTACGCAAAACCTCCAACTGCCATCCTTTTTCACTAGTAGAATTTGACCGAAAAAGGCCTCACACTAGACCTAATAACTCCTACCTTCAACATCTCTTTGATGTGCATTTCTATCTCATCCTTCTGAATCTGCTGGTATCGATACAGTCGAACACTGATAGGAGAAGCCCCCTCTTTCAGGGTAATGGTATGCTCGTGCTCCCAGGGTGGTGGTAATATGCCCGACTGCTAATAAATCTTAGGAAAGTGCTGCAGAAGCTGATATACATAATTAGGAACCTCTTCCCACTCATAATCTCGAATCCCTTCCAGGCTCTACAGCTTCAACAAGTAGCCCAATCTTGTTCCTTGTATTGCCTTAACCTTGGTTTTGAGTGAAACCATGGTTCTGCACATGTTGACATCTCCTCACAGCACCACCTTCTTCCCCTCTACCTGAATTCCATAGTGAAGGACTTCCAGCCCACCTTTGTCTCCTCGATCGTCTGTAGCCACTTCATCCCTAGGATTACATCAGTGCTTCCCAAATCCAGGCGACAAAATCCTCTACTATCTGTATGCCCTGGAGTGCCACTACCAACCTGCTACAAATTCCCCTGCTCTCCATCTTTCTTGTCTCCATCATGATTCCAAAGCTCCTTGTATCCATCAAATTCAATCCCAATTAGTCCACAACCCAATTGAAGATGAAGTTATGAGTTGCCTCACTATCCACCAAGACCACCACTGGTTGTTTCTCAATTTTTTCTCTCACCTACATGGTATGATTTGGAGTGAATCCCACCATAAGTTTAGGGACACCTCTGCCTGTCCATAAGTAAATGTGTTATTTCCTCGCTTTTCTCCTCTCCCTCGTAGACCATTTAGACCTGAAGGGCTCGATTATTACACCTGCGTCCTGACGTAAATCTCTCATCACACTTGAAGCATAGCCCTTTTTCCCGCGCCTATCCTGCACCTCAGCTTCTGTAAAGTGCTTAAAATTTCCCCCAAGACGAACTACAGTGCTTTTCTCTTTTGGCGCTTCCTCTGAAATGACATCATCTGAGTCCTTAATATCAATGTCATATAGGTATTCCTGTAAGCCCCTCTCATGGTGTGCTTTGGCTAACCTTCTCCCTTTGATATTTTTCTTCCACTCTCTGAGCAAGCTCCATCATTTCCCTCGGCCCCTAGATCTCAATACTCTGAGCTTTGCTCGTTCTTTCCCTAAGTCCCTCCATGAAATTTCCTTCCAACCCTTTCTCAAAAATTCCCCTCAATCTTTACAACAGCTACTCAAACTTCTCCCTATACTCCATGACTCTTCCCTTTTGAGTTAAAGCATTGAACTACTTGTGGAGGTCTCCTTCTCGAATGGCTCGAAAATGTTCCAACAAAAACTCATTAAATTCCCCCCATGAATAGATCGGAAACCTAGCCTCCCTCCACTGGAACCAAGCTAAGGGCTTTTCCCTCGAAACATAGCCCTTCCACCATGAGCTTTTCCCCTTCCGTCAATTCGTGATAGCAAAGTAATGCTCCAACTTATACACAAAATCCTGAGCACCTTCCTATTAAAAATTAGCATATTTAACTTCCTTGATCTCGCATCCATACCCCAATGGCTTCTCCCTCCAGTAGTTCCCATGACTCTTCCCTTTTTGAGTTAAAGCATTGAACTGCTTGTGGAGGTCTCCTTCCCGAATGGCTCGAAACTGTTCCAACAAAAACTCATTAAATTCCCCCCATGAATAGATTAGAAACCTAGCCTCCCTCCACTGGAACCAAGCTAAGGGCTTTTCCCTTGAAACATAGCCCTTACGCCATGAGCTTTTCCCCTTCCGTCAGTATGTAATAGCAAAGTAACGCTCCAACTGATACACAAAATCTTGAGCACCTTCCTATTAAAAATTGGCATATTTAACTTCCTTGATCTCACATCCATACCCCAATAGCTTCTCCCTCCAGTAGTTCCTCCCGTGTAATGATGATGTGATTCTCTTCCTACCTCCCTTGGTTGATTTGGATCCCATGGCTCCACCCAACCATTACCTTCTTTAGTCCACCTCTTTCCATGCATGTGTGGTTTCCCGAAGGATTCGGCCTCCCCCTTCTTGTTTTCATTCCTTCAGAATACCCCGATCCACCCACCATCAGTGCCCCCTGTGGTTGTCCCTTGTGGGAAAACACTCTCCACTCCATCATCATCTCCCGGAATTTCCTTTCCCTTTGGTTGAGCTTGGGAAATCGCCTGTGAGGCTTTGACTGCATTTCGATCATCTTCTTCATCATGTCTTCCAAGTTTTCAAAGCAATTCTCTATGAATAAGAGCCTTCCTTCCATGCCAGAATATCTTTCCTCCATTCGGCCATGAGTTGTTCTATGTTTCCTTTCGGTGCATCCATCTTTTTTGCTGTCATTTGTCCTACTTTGATACCAATGTGATATGCCTTGGAAGTAAAAACAACAAAAATAATAGTAGAAAGATGTTGGAATAGCAGAAACACTAGTTGATTTTGTATTATTACTTCGATACGAAGCAAGATACATGTGATTTATGATTGGAGAGGTAGATCGGCTCTCCCAAACAACCTAGACGCTGTTGGTAAGTCTTCAAAGAAAAGAACTACAGCACACATAAATCACACATATCCTTGGAAATACAACAATGTTAGCCTTAAATAGGCTCCCCTAATTCCCTCATAAATAAGCCCTTTTCCTTACTTGATTCCCTCTTCAATTTGAATTCAATTTGGATCTCTTTCCCTAACTTATTACCCCCCAAATTTAATTAAAACTTTCATGATTATCTCTCCCTATATTTCCCCTCCTCACATATGATATTAAATCTTTTCTGGACCCCACAAGGGGGTCGAACTCCCTCCCTGTTTCCTGCTGGGTTCATCTCCTCTGAACCAGGCGGAAGGCTTCCACCTCTATTGCTAGGCATATCCGTTTCTAAAGCATAGAATCGAGAGACAAAGATGAGCATCATGCTACCAAGAATGACATAACTTTATGAAGGGCCAATATTTTTTCCTTATTTGTTTAATAACCCTTTATGTTAATTTTTATTTTATTTTTGCAGTTTTTTTGCTTTGCAGTGTAGTTTATAAATCCTTATTTCCTAGTGTAGCAAGGATATAATTGTTGGGACTTAAGAAGGCGAACCATTTTACTCCAGTACTGCACATGAGATAACTCATCATTTTGCAACACAAATCTGGCAAATATAGAAAGAGAAAATAATTTAGTATTAAAATGTAAACAGCGTTGGAAAAAAACTCCCTTATGTGAGAAGGAAATAACATTCTGAAAATCAGTCCATTTGTTGCTTGATTTTCCAAGAAAGCATTCTAAGGTAGCATCTTATGAGTTTCTGAAGATGCTTAATGTTTTTTTTTTTTCCAGATGAAAATGGATGTTCTCAAGGACATGGTTTTGGGTAAACCTGCCCCTTTGGTTAGCACTTTCAGGTTGAGTTATCACAGTATTCTAAATTTACTGAGCCGTGCTGAGGGTCAATTTACAGCCGAGCATGTTATCAAGAATTCATTCCACCAGTTCCAATATGAGAAGGTCTGTTCTAGAGTCTTACTTTTTTTTTTTTTTTTTTAATGGGAAACCCACGGAGGGGCCTTACGCGTTGATATAAATCAAAATTACAAATCCTTAAAGGGTTTATCAGCCCACTACCGCTCGAAAGAGCTACAAAATTTAAAGAAAAAAAACCTAAGAGCCAATTAACCCCATCTAAATCAATTACAAAAATGCCTAGATACAATCTAAGGCGACGTTGAAAAAGCGTCCAAAAAAGAAAGATAAAAAGATACTTGTTCAGCTCAGTCTTTCTACCCAAAATCAGCTTGCAAGCTGCAAAAATTCTGCAAAACAACACAAAGAAACAAGAAAAGTTAGCAGCAAAAATAAACTTAAAAAACTTACCAGAGTAGCAGATATGCCAAAAAACCCAAGCTTGACTCAAGATGAACAATCTCCAAGAACACTTCTCTTCCGCCACCCAACTCACAAAACCAGTCAGGAACAATCCAGAAATAACACTCACAACCTGCACAGAAGAACACCTCCACAAAACCAAAATGTTGTAAAAACAAACCTTCCAGACAGAATTACAGTAATAAGAGAGCATTTGTGACCTGTTAATAATACGCATGCCATTCTTACAAATCCCCTTAACAAGACGGATGAACTTGACAGTCCAATACCAATAAAAACAATTAAAATAGTCAGTAAAGAACACTGTAAAATAAACCCCAAACAACTATACCAAAGCTTCCCAGAATTGTGCCTAGCAGTCCCCCCCGGACATCACAAACTGCTCCAACACCGCCCCAAGCATAAAAAACCAAAACCGAAACAAATAAGACCCAGAATCTGAGAACAGGGAAAAAACCTAATTCCTTCCAGCCAACAAACCCTCCCAGCCAACCAACCAAATAAAAACAGGAAAAGCCACACCAATGAACAGCAGACAAACAACGGCTAATGATGTCTAATGTAAGGTAAACCAGTACGATCCAGGTTAACCAAACCTTTAACAACCACAGGAATATCAATATCATTAAACTCAGTGAAAGTAGTAAAAGTGCAGCCCAGTTTCACCAAAGCATCAGCACACCCATTTTCCTCCCGTAATATATGAGAGATCTTAAAATTTAAATTACAAAGAGCTTGTTTCAATTGCCTAATCAGATAAAAATTCTCAGCATTAAACAAATGCGTACTTCTGATAATGTAAAATAAGAATAGCATCGACCTCAATCCGGACCTTATTAAAGCCTAACTTAAATTCTAGAGTCTTACTTGTTTACTCATTTATTTCATGCGAACTCAAGTAGTTTTAAGTTATGGAGATATTTAAAGTCTTTTTTCTTTTTTTCTTTTTCTTTCTTTTTTTTACCTAGTCTTGGTCAGGCATGAACAAAAAGATTTCAAAGTTGGAAACAGAAGTGGCTATGATTGAATCCTCAGGCGAGGTAATGTGTCAGTTTGCATTGAATATCTTTAAATTCAATGTCTATGCTCTATATTGACTTGATTTTTTTAGCATAGACTGAAGTTGCTGATTATCATAATTTGGAACTTGAAATTGCTCAACTTGAAAAGAAGATCATGTCTGGAATCACCAGGTCAACTGTCAAGGTAAGTCACATAGCTTGATCCTTTATTATTGGTCCCTTCTTATAGATCAACTTTGGAAAGGTCTGACATAAATGTTAGGCATCTATCATATTTTTCAAATTTCATGAAACTTGTTGATGAAGTTTTTTGTTTCTTAGTTCTTTAAGTTAAAGATGCTTATTCCTAGGTTTGAAAGTGATATGTCGTTAGTCTGAAGTGATAATGTCTTATATCTCACTTTTATGCTTCATCAGGACATGCGTATCAAACCCCCGGAACTTACTGAATTACTCTTTAAAATTAAAGAACTGAAGCATAAATTAGCTGCTCATCCACTGCATGAGGTATGTATTTACTTTGTTTGGTACTGTATTTTGTAGCTGATAAGTTTTATAATGGGAAGAACTATTATATTACACCAGTTGCATGTAGCTTTCTTTGATTTGTTGGTTGGAGCTATGGCTCCCAATCAAGAGGTCTTGAATTCGAAGCTTGCGTATACGATGGTCATGTGAATTTACCTTAATTAGCCTAAATGTCAAAAAAAAAAAAAAAAAAAAAACACCAGTTGCTTTGTGCTCCCTTCTTGTCTAGCCAAACTGAGAAGCAATACAAATGGTTCCAAATAAAAGCTTAGCTAAATCTTGAAATCCATCGGCTTAAGTCCAAGATGAGGGATTCTAAGGTGATCTAGTGAACTTTTTTTTTCCTCCCATCCACTATCAACTTCATCGTGAGTGCTACCCAATTAACTTTGGTGTCTCCCAAGGTCTGCAGCCACTTCATCCCCAGGATGACATACGTACTTCCTAACTTCAGTGGAAGAAAATCTTCCCTCACCTGAATCCCCTAGATAGTCAGTAGCACTCCTCTACAGATCCATGGCCTTTCTCCATCTTCCCTGTATCCATCATTACACCATAACAACCGGTATCCACCAATCTCACTCCCAATTGGTCAACGATCTGAGTGGAAATGAAATTGTGGGTAGCCCCACTATCAATTAGCACCACCACCTCCCTTCTGTTATCTTCCCCTTCACCTTCATGGTATGATTCGTAGTGAATCCTACCATCGAGTTCAAGAAAACCTCTACTAGATCTAAATGCAACTTCTCCTCCATCTCCTCCTCTAACCCCCCCTCACCTCCCTCAATTTCCTCATCATCGTAGACGGTGAGAACCTGAAGAGTTTGGTCCTTGTACCAATGCCTTGGCGTATACTTCTCATCGCACCTAAAACACAACCCCTTTATCCTCTTCTCCTGCATCCGCTTCTCTATCAGCCGCTTGAAATTTGCCCGCTCCCTCCTCCTACTGTCTTCTCCCTTGTGGTTTCCCGACTTCCTCCTGTTGCAAGACCTTTAGGTGGTAGATGGGTGGTTGTCATCCTGTAAGTGCCCCCTGTGCTACTACTCTTGGCTCCCCTCTCCAGATTTCTCTTATTTTCAACTAGCTATGTCAACTTCACGACCTCCCCCAAGTCACGAGGTATCAGGACCTTCACTGCAGCTCAGATCTATACCTTCAACCCCTTTATGAAGTTCCCCTCCAATACAATATTTGATAATCGCTCAATCCTACTGGTCAGGTGCTCAAACCGCTCTTGATAGTCTGCTACTTATCCCTCTTACACTAGAGAAAAGAACTACTCATAGAAATTTCCTTCCTAGTCAGTTTGGAAACTTTCTATTATGCAATCCTTGAATTCCCTCCAATTACTGATAGGTCTCCTCTGTTTCTCCACTGTTACCATGACAGTGCCTTCCCTTCCAAGACAAGCCTGCCGCTATCATCTTCTCCTCCTCCGTTAGCCCATTGACGATGAAGTACATTTCCACCTTATAAATCCACCCATACGCATCCTCCCCTTCAAATATGGGCATCTTCAGTTTCCTCACCTTCGGATCTCCCCCATTTCTCTTTATTCCTCCATAGCTTCCTTTTTACCAAGTGCTTGGCCCTCCCCATGTCTCCCGGTCTTCCCTTGCCCTGTCATAGCCCAAACCCCCTTTGAATTCCCCCACCATTTCTTCAAATTCAGCACCTCTGCGTTCATAATATCCCTCCCGAAATTCCAATCAGCACCTCTTTGCTTTGCCCCTACATACCCATGCCTTTACCTATACCTACCTCCTCTATCCTCCCTCTGGAAGGCTCCAGATGGGGTTTCATTCTTTCTCCCTCCACGATCTCCTCCTCATCTTCCCCCTTACGAATTTTGGAATTCGTATTTTTCCCTTCCACTCCTTTTGCTGCGGAATCCGCCTTTTGGTTGTGGATTTCGAACATTTTCTTCATCATGTCCCGGAGATCGACTATTTGTCCTTCCATGGAGGAAATCCTTTCCTCCACCGTTGTCTTGATTTGTTTCATCTCTCCTTCAAGTCTTTCTTCCAGTGCATCTACTTTCTTGGCCGCTATCTCTATCCGGATTTTTGTAATTCAAAATTTCTGGATTTGAATCACAAAAACAGCAACTATCTCCTTTCCCGACCAAAATTTAGCCGCTGAAATTCTCCAAAATCAGCCCACGAATGGTCCCAAGGCTTGCTTTGATACCAATTTGATAGGAAATACTTGAGTTCGCAAGTAACCCTAAGGGTAATACTTGAGTTCGCAAGCAAACCTATCACCAATTAGTGAAAAATCATGAGAATAATGCAAAATTTGAGTGAAATCAACCCCAAAACGATAGATTGCGGTAAGAAGATCAAAGTCAAACAAGCACAAAAACAAGATACATTAGATCCTCAATTCAAGAGGAGGATTGTCTATCCCAAATCTCTAGACAAGATAGTCTAGAGCCCAAGTCGCCAAAGAACCCTAATATGTCACGACCTGGCCCAGTGAGCTCGCATGTGCGAGGCTGGAACAAAGGTCGGACGATAGGTCAAATATCTAATTTCTAAAACTATCACCTTAACATTTTGAAAGAGCCTCTAAAACATCAAATTGAAAACACATAAACATAAAATCAAGCATAATCATAAAATTACCTTTCCTCAGGTGCTTCTCTTCTATAATAAACATTGACACCCCTTCTACTCATTTTGATTTACTTAAAACTTACCTGAAAAAAAAATGTTAACAATTAACATTAAGCCTAAGCTCAGTAAGTAAAACACAATTCTAAGCTACAGTAATCAAGGCAAACTGCGTAATATGCTGGATGTCAATTTCATATGATCATAACATAAAATAATTTCATACTTAACATAACATTAAACATATCATATCATAAAGCCATATTTTTCATTTTTCTTTCCATATTCATATCATTATACTTAGCTTTCTCTTTTTGTATACATTACAACCGTTACATGAGTCACCGTCTAGTACCATAAAGGTACTCCTTTACCATTTTTCTTTTCTATATCCTTTACCATTTTAGCGTGCACGAGTACAGCGTCCTCAGCTAGTATCATAAGGGGGTGAACTCCATCTAATCAGCATGCACATTCAATCATTCAATATAACATTCTTATCATATAATTTTATTTCATATATCACATAAACTCTATCATATTAGGCCATAAAAATATAACATGAAATTTGCACGATCAATTATTTGATGAGAGTTAAGAAGCATGATTGGTTATCAAATCATATAACATGTGAGAAATAAAAAACATTACTGTAATTAATATGCATACTTACTTGAAATTGGGTAAATTGATTTTTTTTCACTAGTGCTTCCTTCAAGATCATAATAATCTACACTTATAAGAAAATATTTTAATAATCAATGACTAATGCTAATCATCTAAATTTTAATGAAACTACTCCTATAAAACTTCTAAAAGTTCTTCTCTTCAAACTATACTCTAGTTCTCTCTTTCTCTCTCATTTTCATAATTACAAACATATAAATTTAATTTGCTTAATCATTTATCAAAATTTCCCTTACCCAACTTTAATCTTAATTCCTAATCATTACTATAAGGAAATCATTAACATAAATAAACATTAAATCTTAATTTCTTTTTATTAAGTGACATGAATATCATTATCATAAATCAATATCATTAATATAAATGAATATCATTAACATAAATCTTTAATTTATTATTTAACCTAAACTTTAATTGACATTAATATAATTATTTTCGGATTTATAAACTCTAAAAATTAGGAAAATATCATTTTGTGAGAAAAACTCAATTTATACCCTTAGAAATCCTCTTAGGACCCTTACGAATCATATTTGTAAAATCACTTTCAAAAAGTTCAATTTTAGGAAAAAACCCTAATTTTAGAAACCGTAATAATTTTTGGAGAAACTTCGTTTTTTAGATTCAAATCACTACTCCTAATATTCCCTAACAATCCTCCATTAATTTCATAAAGAGATTATAAATCTTTCTCAAACCCTAAAAATCTTTTCTTCCAAAAATTTAGAGAATGAGAGGAATTTTCTTAAATCTATAGCATACCTTAGCCTTCCTTTAGTCTCCTCTACGCTTTTCCACAAGTTTGGCTACCAGAATCCGCCGCCAGAGCCGCCGCCGAAGATGCCGTCCGAGCCTTGCGTCCGCCTTATCCTTATTCGGCCGCTCGATTTGTGTCGTGCGAAAGAAATGAGAGGGGGAGAATGGCTGGTTATGCTTAATAAGAGAATTTGGGTTTTGCAAAAGACCCTCTTGTCCTTAAGTAAATTTGGCCTTCTATTCGCATAAGGTAAAACCTGTATTTCCACTTCCGAATTTTATAATTCCCAAATATACATAATTTAATATAAGTTTTATATATCAAAACAATCAAAATTTTATGTAGGATATTCTAAAATTATTTTCGTCAAATTTTGTTAAATTCGAAAATTCAATTAAAACTCGTCGCAAAAAACGTGTGAGGTGAAAAATGTCATTTATCGGGTTTTACATAATAGAAAGCAAATCAAGCATGCCTCACCCTAAACATCTCATGCTACTTAATGCATAAATTTTCCTAATCAAATTTTCCTCCCAAGCCCTAGCCGCCCCTTCCTTTTCAAATCCGAACTTAATTGGAGTAATGGACCCACCATTGTGGACGGCATCATTAGGGGAGGCGGAACTAGCCTGCCTTCTGTATACACGAACCAGCCCTGGACGGGTTGGTTGGGCCAGTTCAAGAGGCTTGAACCGGCCTATCATATTTTTCATTACGGAACTCGCAGTTTTACATATAGCAATAGGGGAGAATTTTGTTAGAGAGCAGAAGTTGTGCTTGAAGTTTACTTTGTTGTAGTGGAGCGCAGAATGCAGGTGGATCAGTTGCAGAATTCAGACATGGTGAAGATAAGTAGTCAGCAATGGGAAAAGGCACTTACCTGGCGGCTTGTTTATCATAAAGGCTGACTGTGCAATTCCTTATCATAAACGTTATCGTTTTCTTTCATTGATTTTTTTCTTGATAGAATTTGTTTCCTGCACCTTCTTTGCAGCTACAAAAGTTCCGTGATGAGCTGAAAAACCGTTTACGGGTTCTAGAGAGGCTTGGTCACATAGACGCAGACAGTGTAGTTCAGTTGAAGG